TGGGGTGGCGCCCGCCTCGGCCGCCTCGCCCGCTCAGTGGCTGCGCCGAGCACAAAGCGCTGTCTCCGAGCAGAAAGCCTCTTCTCGGTCGAAGCAGACCCACCAAAGAGGAGAATCTGCGCGTGACGTCAGTAGCTGAGGACTGACGCAGGCTGGCGAAGGAGACTCAAGGCGGCTGCTCCGCGCTGGCTTCATGAGTCTATTTTCTCCAGCCCCCTCGTAGTGAATTACTAGAACGAAAAACACACACACAGACACACACATGCAGCTTTCAAAATATACATTTCCAAGGGCGGTGTGTTGCAAACACCACGCGATTTGGCAAAGCGTGGGTGGGAAACGTAGGGAAGGGCACGGATGATTTTCCACCTTCCTCTGGGAATCTCCATCGTGGTTAACATTAGGCTCTGGAGCTCTCCTGGGAAGCTCCTCGGGGGAAGGGGCTAAGCAACCCCCTTTCCCCAGCTTTTAGGAATCTGGTCAATGGAGACGTGCAGCTCTAAGAATACAACCGCTCCAACGCCTTCGGCTCTGCTGGGGGAGGCTGCGAGCTTGCAACAGGCAGACAGGCGGGAGTTAACGGGAGGGAGGGAGAATGTAAGAAATACTTGGATATTTTTCTTTGAAAAACACTCTGCAGTAATGCAAGTGAGTCTGGAGGTGCAGGAAAAAGTGGGGAGGGGGCATTTCATGCACACTGAGTGTTTTGGACGCAGCGTTCCAGCGAAATGCCTTTGTGTGTGGAGGTTTTTTCAGTACTTGCTAAAAATAGCACCAGGGTTTGATCGTGTTCCAGAAATAGACCGAGGGCTGTACTGGGATAAAAAGCCAGCGCGGGTGGAAGAAAACCTGGACATCACCGCATTCCCCGCCCCCCCAACTATGTCTGGAAATTAATTGTTGGATTTTTCCTTCCTCTCTCCTCTCTTCATCCACTTTCTGTTCCCTCCCCCTATGTTTCTCTTTCTCTTAAGGAGTTCCCGTCTAGGTAAGTAACATTGTGTCATGTGCATGCCGCAGACTGTAGGTATGAGCTGATGCTTACTTTATGCATGCTCTGGGGTTCCCCCCGCCTTTGGCTGCCTTTTTACCCCTTCCTAAAGAGGAGAAGGAGACTAAGTAGGGGATGAGGGTGTAGCTATATATACATATGAATTTGGGGCTGCATGCAAAGGAACGGAGAGAGGGAATTCTTGCAGAGCCGGGAATCACCCGGACAAATCTCTGAATCAATAGCAGCTGCAACTCTCTCCGTCTTTACGGGTTGGCGCTGTTGAGCTCAGTTCTCCCTACTGCCCCTCCCCTCATCTTCTCTGTTTTAAAGGGTGGCCAGACACGACTTAATGGGCCATCTCTCTGCAAAATTAATGGAGACAGTGCACTATAGATCAAAATTGCATGGGGCCGGGTGGTAAAAAGAGCGGAAAATCCCTATTCCTTTCACAAACCGCCTGGCTTGCTCGCTTTGGGAATCCGAGGACCAAGCCCCTGGTCCGGGCTGGCCCAGGAGTCGGTAGCTGTCCACGCAAGATAGGTGCTGAAAATTCCTTGGCCCTCTGCGAGTTCAGTTCTCAGCGCCAGGGGGCGGGGTGGCGCCAGCAGCGGTTAGCCCCGCCCTGCATGCGGAAGAGGGATCCGGAGAGGAGGGAGTTAAGGATGTTCAAAGGGGATAGTCGTGACTTCGGTGAGAGCTTTGGGGAAAGGAGGGGTGAGTGGGAAGGAAAGAGAAAAAAAATTTAAAGGAGAGGGAACGAAGTGTTAGATTCGAGGATGAGCCAAGGCCCAGCGCTCCAGGAACGGAAGGCCAGCGGCTCACCGTCTCTCCCTGCAGTCTGGGCACTGTCTGGGTCTCCATTCTCAGGCTCCTACACCTTCCCGCCAGTGGGTTTGAAAGATTTCTCCCTGGTGATGGTGACTCTCAAACGAAGAGGCTATAGGTTGCATTTTTCGGACCCTCACCCCTCCCACTTCATGTCTGTCCCCATTCTGCAATTCCTGGGAGGTGGAGAGACGCGTTTTACAGATTTTTTTTCCTTATTATTCCCACTTCCTTGCGTCCTAGTCACAGAAGCCCCAGATGACTTGGTAGAATGCGTGAATGTGAATTAGAAGCCCAAGCACAGGAGTGGCCGGCGCCATACGCAGAGAATCAGGCTTGGGAACATCGCCTGGGCGCCTGAAAGCCACAGGGCTGCAAACCAGCTCCAAGGAATACTGGGGCGGGGGTTCCCAGGCTGACACACCTTACTGGGCAGGGGGACCCCCAACCGTCTGAGGGTCGTGGGCCTGGCCCAGAGTGACACTCACGGCAGCCAGCTCCAGACACTTGGCTGAACCTGTAGCCAGACAGGTGAGGAGGGAGGAAGGTTATCAGAGGCGAGAGGGCGGCGAGTGTCACGCGCACACCTTCTTACCGACTGACTCTGCCCAGAGGGAGAATGGCAGTGCAGCCTCGAACCGGCCCACAAGGGTGGGCTGTAGCCAGTGGGGAGATGAAGCACTCTTGCTGATCTGCAGTGAGCTTGTGTGCCTGTAGGGACATTTTGTATACAATGTTAAAGAAAAGAAAAGGAAAAACAAGAAGGTAAGTATCTGTGAGGCAAAGCCTTCAGGAGGCAGAGAAGGGCAGGCGAGGAAGTCTCCATTGTCTACCTGGCTACGGCCCCAGGCTTAAGCGACCTGACCTCTAGGCTGGGTCGAAGCCCTAGGGGGTAAAAGAGGGCGAGCGAAGTATTTTTGGGTCCGAAGCAGTTCCTCTCGGAAAGGTTCCCCTATCAAGGCTGAGCATTCAAGTCGTAACAGTAACGCGGGCCGTTGCTGATGTTGTGCAGAAGAACACAAACAAAACTGCAACCTACACTTTGTCTCCACAACTCAGCCTCTCGGCCTCCTCCTCATTCAAGGGGACCGACTCTTCCCTTTCCCGAGCCTCGCCCCTCTCAGTCCCGCAGGTGGCGGGCTTGTGTTTACAAATGCTGCCACATTTGCAAAGGAAAGAGCGGGGAGTGGGGGGCGCGCCCGGGTGGGGAGGGGGAGTGCGACGATGCACGTGGGACACGTGGAGCCCTGGCGGGGGCTTCCACAAGTCTGGAAGAGGACACAGGGACCCCTCCTTGTCCTCATTTCCCCGACCGCCCTCTGCCCTCCCCTCCCGTTCGTTTGACACAAGGTACAAGTTTACTCCCCTCCCCCGAACTGGATCCTATTAAATAATTCAAGGGTAGCGATGTGATTTGGGTTGGAACCAGCACGGATTCCCAAGTCGTGACTGCAAAAAGTGAGTAATGCGCGCTGGCTGCGTCATGGCCCTAGTCACAGTTCATTCCGAACTGAGAAGGAATCGTGACTTCGCCTGGAGACGTCCCCTCCACGGGAGACCGGGGTGGACGGGGTGGGGGGAAGACCTGTCCAATGAGAACCTCTGCCAGGGGGGCACCTGAACCGCTGCTCGCCGTCTCGAGGTCCCTCGCTGCCCCGCGCGCCTCTCCCCCCTCCCGGCGCGCTCGATCGCTCCCTCTCCCGAAGCCCGACGAGTCCTCAACAAGTTGGCGGGAGGCAGGAGCGCAGGGGTTAAGCTCGGGAAGGCGCAATTACCAAGATCGTGACCCTCCCACACAGTCCAGTAACTTATATACTTACCTGGAAGGGCCCGCTCGCAGCTGGGCAG